CATTTTCCTATACGTTATTTTTTCAAATTTTAAATAAAGAGTTTTCCATCTGTTTTACTTTTTTTATTTCCTGCAAGATAGCCTTGTTGTCAGGACACAGATCGAACGCCTGAAGAAGATCTTTTAATCCTAATTTATATTCGTTCAAGTGAATGTAAGCTTGTGCTCTTCGAAAAAACGCTTTACCATTTGTATTATCCATTTGCAGAACCTGAATCAAACAGTATGTTAAAGCATAATGCAATACTTTTGACAAATTTCTCACGGAATATTAACTTACTTCATCGCAGAGATCTATGGCTTGACGATATTTTTTTTGCTTTATATGTACAGCTGCTAAATTAAGTAGTAAAACTAACTTGAGATCTATCAGCGAGGCATAAAATGTATCTGGCATGTTTTCCTGTTGATTCATCCAAGAGTAATACCGTAATGCTTTCTTATACTTTCTACCAGCGTCTACAAAGTTCTGCTTTGCGAAATACTCATTTCCGGAATCTTTTATTTTTCTTATTACTTCTTCCATAAACTTGTGCTAAAAACAAACCAAATTAATTGTTAACTTACAATGCTATACCTAAGCAATAATTTTCAGGAGTGATACATGAGTGACAATTTACACTTAATTTGTTGACTTGATTGGTATAATTCCAGTCTTCTGGCCACGGCGTATAAATATCCTCAGATCCATCATTCTCTTCTAATCCCCAAGATCCATTTCTTTTTAATTCTCCACAATCAACTATACTTATTTTCTAAACAAACCAATTATGAAGCTAGATGATTACTACAAATCTAGGCGTTATATCTTCATACCTTAAGAAATACATAATATCTTACTTCACTTGGAATATCCTTTTCAGTCTGCACTTGATTGATTTCTAATACTGCACCCATGCCTTTTATAACTTTTCCAAATACTACATTAGTGTTGTCCAGATGTATAGATGGTTGAACAGTAATAATAAATTGGGAACTGTTTGTATTCGACTTGCCCTCATTCACCATGCTAAGGAGTCCAGGACAATTGTGCTTCAGTGTGAAGTTCTCATCATCAAAGTAAGGACCATATATACTTTCTCCGCCAGTACCGTCGAAATTGACAATATCTCCACCTTGGATCATAAACTGTGAAACAACTGCGACAATACAAAAAATATACGCAAGATTATCATGATTAAACAAATTAAATTCTAGTTTAATCAGTCATAAAAAGATTAATCGGATACTTAAATCTGCTAGAATAGGTTTTGCAAAGTGTCTATTACAAATTTTGTCAAAAAGAATGTCAATAGAAACATAACAGAATACTACTAATAGAATATGATGTCAGATTGACTGCACAAACTAAAAACAAAATCTGTTTTGTAATAATTTAAATAATGTATTTATCTTTAGACCTTTATAAAACAACAGATTCTGGTGGATTATCGCTGTCAATCTGTTATCAGATTTCAGCAAGCTTAATGTGGACACAGATAATACTTTTTTGTTATTGCAAGTTTCTGAACAAATTTGTTATCAATCTGTTGACATATCGTGAATAGAAAATACTTCTGCTGCAGTTTTAGAATCGTGCCTATCGGCCAAGTGGAATGACAACAAAGCTAGAATAAAATTATATCGCGCAGCAAAGAATCACAGAGAAAGGATCTTGGGAATCTCGTACCCTTGTGGAAGACGCTTCCTTTGTAGTGTAACTTCTCGGCCTTCGTCCCGGCGCCCTTCTCGCCGGTGCACAACGCGCGGAAATTCTCCGCAGTCCGTGGCACCACATCCTTGTACAGTTCTATGACAATTCTTCCCACTGGAAAACAAGGAGGACGTGAGTCTCGCCGTTTCCGTTCCGGAGGATAACCTCGCGCGAGAAATACCTTTCTCGGAGTCGATCGCGACGTCCAGGAAAACTAAAGGATTATCCTTGTTGGTGTGCGCCTCGAGCTCATCCTTTTTCTCGGAATACCTCATATTTCCTTTTCGATCGCACAATCGCCACGCTGGAATCTCCCGTCTGTCAAAACCGTTCCGAGTCTGCGTGAATATCAGCGAACGTCACCAACTCGCGAACCTTGCCTTGCCTGCGCGACAAACAACGCCATGATTAATTCCATCTTGTTATTCTCTAACAACCGGTTAATTTTAAGCCCATTTCTATTTTAAGCCCGACGCGGACTAATTTTAATCTTCTTTTCTTTTTTAACTTTTTTACTTTTTAATTTCTTTCAGTGCTAATAATTAAAGAGATAAACAAGTAAATTAAGCCAAGATTAAAGTCAATTTACATCGATAGAAATGGATATTGAAAAACTACATCTTTTTATTTTATTCATTCACGATGACTGCCGATCCGATAGCTCGTCCTTGAAGTAAATATTTTGTGCTGAAATTCTCTTTCAATTGATTAAATATTTCATTATTGTTTCACAATTTTTTATTACAGTATATGTATAAATTTCTTTATATATATATATATTTTGCAGTATTACATTAAATTTCTTAAAAAAAATTTTTAAGATATGTTCGGTAATTTTTCAATTAATTTTCATTTCATTTTTCACCAATTTTAGTGTAGCATACTTGTCCTTAAGAAATTCAATGTAATATTATGGCATATAAGGAAAAGTTAAAGAATACTATTCTTCGAAATATTATATATATCTTTTTTTTTCAAAAAAATTCCAAAATTTCATAATTGCCAATTTAAAAAGTATACTAGCAGTGAATTTTGGAACATAACTGGCATTAAAATAATAAAAATGTATTAAAGAAGTTAATTACATATATATTGATTAGTTTTACCTCTGTGTTTTACTTGCAAGCGAGAGAGAAAATTCAAATGCTTATTGAATATAAAATGAAGTGAGCTGAAATTCTGAAATAAATTTAAAAATGAAGAAACTGTCAAAATTTGATATGCTTAATAATATAATTAAAATTATATCTTGTACAGAGAACTCAGCCAGATAAATAAATCCGAATAGATCGTAAGAGCAGAATTGAAAATATTTTTCGGAAAATATATGAGAGTTTCTGAATTTGAATGTAGATGTTAATTTATTTCCAGAAAAATTTTTAAATTGAAATCGAACATTTAACACTGAGATGTAGCGACAAAGTAATCATACATAAAAACAATTCGTGTTTCTTTTTATTTAACAGACAAAATTATTGTTATTAGGAAATTGATTATTCTCAAGGTTTAATGATATTTTAATAATGATTTATAATAATGTTTATATTTTAATAATGTTTATAATAAGTACAAAATCTTAACAAAAATTTGATATAAAACTTTTTTCCGTTCTCGAATGAGAAAAAAGCCACTTTATATAAAATGCTATTTTTAATTATTTTAAAACAAATAAATAAAATTGTATTCTCAAAATATTTTATCATTATTTAATAATATTTATATGTTTGAAAAAAAAGATAGGTCCCACCGAGATTTGAACTCGGATCGCTGGATTCAGAGTCCAGAGTGCTAACCATTACACCATGGGACCTCTTTTGTACAGTTATAACAGACTGTCCACATTTTATATATTTAGCAAAGATTTAAACCCTACTTAGTGGAGATTTGAACCTTTTTGAGAATAGAAACTCCATTCAGCGGAATTTCAAACGCCATTCATAATTATGTCATTAAAAAAAGAATAAAACATTATGCATATATCATTTCATTTGTTATATATTAACATTCCATATATATATATTCCATATATATTTTTCAATTACGAATTTCTTTAAAAAAAAAAACACTTTATTTGACACTTTATTATAAAATTTAACATTTTTGTATTTGATCAATATCAATGATTTCATTTTTCAATATCGGAGCAGTATTGTATTGAGTATCAATGACTCAATACAACATTGCTCCAAATCGTAACAATAATAATTATGAAATGTTATAAGAAATGCGGTATTAGGAAAAAAAAAAACGATCGCAAAAAGTAAAACGATAACAGGATCATGGGAATGAATAAAAGGAATATAAAATTCGAAATGCCTGTTTCTTTCTGTTTTATCGTCATGATAAGTATAACAATGAAATTTCTCACAGAATAACGTATAACCGTATATCGCTTTATATAATAAATTTTAATACATATACATAATATTTGTTACTTTTTATTTATAACTCAGAATTCTTTCTCGATGAGAATTCTTGCTATGTGTATATATATATAAATTATAATACTATATAAACAAGCAGAATATATATTAATACACTTATCATATTTAGTAAAAGTAGTCAATCTCTAGAAGCTTTCTCTAATGCTAGAATATATTATGTACTATTAGATAACTTTTGTTCATCAATTATTTGGAAATAATAACAAATCGTATATTCCATTTTTTCACGCGACTCATTTTGACTTGTCGACTTTTGCACAAATTGCAATTTGACATGCGCTCTACACATTTACGTCTCTCCAGCGATCTGCATTCAAATGAACAACGCTTAAAAATGAACAAGATCATTGACTCAAAGCATTGTTCGTATTATTTTGAGCAATAAAAATGTATATTTCATTTTTCCTATAGCCTATTACATCCATAGGACATCACATAAAATAGCATTTGTATGTCTTCCATGTGTATGTGTGTGCGAAAAACGGGTTTGGTACTTTTTTTCTTTGCATTTATATCCTTTTCACACAACAAATTTGGCAAATTGTTTAACAAATCCTCGTTTTCGTTCTATATAGATACGATTGATAAATATTACGATCTACATGATATTCTCCCTTAAGAAAAAGTCGATTATATATATTATACAAATATGACCCCACATAGAAATGCTGTTTGCTCTAAAGCCAAGTTGAATAAAGAAAAAAAGGTGCAGATTCAAGTTTTTTAATAGAAAAAAAGTAGACGTTCCTGTGCGCTTCCGGATAATAATCTCCAACCACGTTTGATATTTAGATATTGAATAATGGCACGTACACAAATTAGAACTCCTGAAAGACAAATAGTATATTTTAATGATTGTCCTTATTTTTTTAATTAAATTTTATAAATGTTATACGTACCGAATGCCATTATCAACCACCACAACCATGAGTTCTCTCGTGAAGCCAAATCGGTCGAATGTTTAACAATGAGCGTCCACTTTGTCAGAGATAATCCGAAACCGGCTAATGCACCGTAACGAGAGGCGATAGTGTGACAGAAACACATTAATAACAAAAATCCAATCCAGTTGAATAGAAATGCAACTATAACAAATAAATATTTGTTATATTTTATAATGAATATAAATAGCTGTACACAAAAATTGAACTTTTATGATATAAAGATGAGCTACCGAGAAACGCTGTGAAGAACATAAAATCAGTGCCAAGTAGCCCGCTTTCCGGATCTCCCTCTGCAGCTTCAGTGTCTATAGCCAATATTGTCAGAGGCTGTTGTGGAGGTCTAATATTTCCTGACTGTAAAGGAAATATTTATATTTCCTTAAAAATATAAAACATTTGATAAAAAAAAAATTAAAAAAAGATATATACATAAAGTTGGATAAACGGTAGAATCAAATTATTTAAGTATAAGAAATTATTTAAGTATAAGTTGGAAATATAGAATAAAATTTTTCTTATATAATACTAATTTTAATACAATAATTTCAATACTTCATTAATTAATAAATGCCATTATTAAAATTGTTATATGTTATAAAGTAATATTATTCATAACAGTATTAAAATAATTATGTGTAATGAAATTTGTTAAGTTGAAAATTAAGACAAATGCATGATAAATTTTCAAATTTGATTATTTCGAAAACAAACTATTATAGGCAAAGAAATTTTATTGTACATTTCCAATTTATTTTTACTGATGTTGAATAATCTCTTATCTTAGTATCATTTGTCCTAACCATATATATTAAAAATATTTTTTAATGCAAATTATATACCATGTGTACTTGAGGCTGTGGCTCGCCCTGTAAAGTCTTTTCACGCTGGACTTCTTCATAACTGGGTAATTTGGTAGCTACTTCATAAGGGGGTGGCGCAGAGAAGTCTGGTTTCGGAGGTGGAATTTCCTCTCCTTCGGTCTAAATAATTTTGCTGCGTTAATAATTATTTAAACAATACTATGTATCTTACACATTACTCATTTGTCAAAAGTTTGAAGACACACATTATGTTCTCCAGTTAAATTAAAAATAACAAAACCAAAAAGTTAAATATAAACTATTTCTTTTGTATTATATCGATAAAATACTTTTAAAAACTTATTCGTTATTTTTAATTTAATTGAAAGAAGTGCTCCGACCTTTGACAAGTAATACATACATATTAAATAACAATGGATTACCATTCGATTTGTCGTTGTAGCTTGCGCGCCAGCACAGGTGGATGCTCCGGAGTGACCAAGCATGTCGACCTGCATGAACGGCATCGCCACGGTGACCGTGGGAACGTCGTTTTGATTTGACGTCTCGCCACCGGTGTCCGCACTCGGTTGAGGCGGCTGTGGAACAACGCATAGAACAGATTACTATAAATGTGTACAATTTAACGAGGTATTATTTTAAAACATTCCGCCTGCAATCGAAAAGGACAATCGACGAAAGCTTTCAAAATCGAAACACACTTGATCTTTCGTCGGATCGGTAGATAACGATATCGTCATTCCTTTTTTTTTTTTGCGCAGAGAAAATGATCAAAACATGACGTCGGATGAGGAGAGTCGTCCAGCGAGCTGAACGAGGCCAACTATGATCGCGCGAAAAAAAATACAGACACTTGCACGAGCAACGTTGTCAACGTCGTCGTCGTCGGCATTGTCAACGTTGTCAATATCGTGGAGGATATTTTCGCGCGAAAAGGAGAAAAGACGAACGTCCGGGAAGCGTACGACGAACTATTCGCGACTCGTCGTGGGTGGACGTACCGTGTTGTGACAAGCGTTACTGTCCATTTCCGGCCAGATTTGCGTGACGCGGCTGGTAGACAGCGCCCGGGATGCAACGACGAAGGGACGATACGCGTTTGCGAGACGCGAGACGCCCTTATTCGAGTCCGAGACAGTAATAAAAAGCGTTCGCAATCGACGCCTGACAGCTGGTAAGTCGTAACCAACGTGATGGCCGACGGTTGTCCTGGAACAACGTCTATCATTCCGCGATCGACGAGTCGCGAATTCCTTTAGACTTCAATCGCATGAGCGGCGATTTGAATCTCCGTTTCCTCCTAGTCCCATCCATTTCCATTCCTACACGACGAGAGGAATTTGTGAAATCTCGTCGCGTGATATATCCTATATATCGGGATATTGCAACTCGAAGATATTCTATAGAGATTTGGATATATGAGAGATAACGTCCGCATTTAAAAGAGTGCAGAAATATCACTGATTTTAATGAAATGTATATGTTATTCCTGAGATATATCTATTGTTGTTTACAATAAAATCTTGAATATCATAGGTAAAAAATATAGAGATTATTATAATTATTTCGATAGTCTGAGAGAATCTTTCTAATAATAATAACTTAATTGGATCCATTTATTTAACATATATATATATATCATATATATATCTCATGCATATTAATTAATTTGCATATTAAACGATCGATTAAATTAAATTATGACTCGAATAACACCAAGTTGTCAAGAGATAATTAAAAAAATGTTCAAATTTTTGTAAAAATAGTTTTAATTAACAATTGTCAAAATTGTATTTCTTATCTTTATCTTAATAGCTTTCCATTTGAAGAGGCTGTAAGATAAAGATAAATTCTGTATTTGAGTGGCCTCATCCCGAGAACTTATCTTCAAAAAGTAATCTCATAATAAATAGAACACTCTCCATGTCTTTTATTCTATTCTACGCAATTTTTACTTACGAAAAATAGAATTTCGCCACGTCCATCTAGCGGCAGTGTCACAGATTCTCGTAGAAACGAAAAAGTATCTGTTTTAAATATCTTTTAAATATCTCTGAGATGTATACATTTGTTATTCGCAGTAAAATATTTTCTGAAATATTTTTTATGGAAATATTTTCATAAATTATACTCGTAATATATTGATGGTATTTTAAGGAAATTGAGATATATTTCTTACATCTGCGATGATTTAGTAGATCCCACAGAGATCTATGGTATACACCGCCCGACGATTGGTCGCTCGGTATTTGCGCGTTGAGAATCATCCTTAAGACGGGATCCTAGCCACCGGAAATGACGCGTCTAGAAGTGCGAAGCTAATAATCCTAATGATTCTTTCATTACTTTTTTTAACAACGTCGCGATGCGTTAATCGCGAACTGCGAATAATGCAATTTTAACAGCAACGTGATTAAAAAAGGAAACATCGTTCTTTGCGACATGATCGCTCACTTGACCAACCGTCCGACGACGGCATGGTGGGGTTGTCACGAGAGCAGGGGGGGGACGGCGCGCAGAGAGGGAGCAACTGCGCTCACGTCGTCGCGTATAAACGACGCTCCGCAGGCAAGTCAGTCGTTCGCTGACGTCCGAGGGGGCAGGTTGGTGGTCGATCGTCATCGCGATGTCGGAAGTATTCAAACTAGGTGATCTCGTATGGTGCGTATTGCGAGTGCGCGCGATAACGCGATCGTGTGCTCCGCACGTCCGTATACTAATCCCCCCACGTCTGTCTTTCTGGCTTTCAGGGCGAAGATGAAGGGATTCTCGCCGTGGCCCGGCCGGGTAAGTCGCACCCCCCGCTTCCCCTCCCGCCCGCCCTCCCTCTCGCTCGCTTCGGTCCGTCGTAGCGCGGGCTTGCTCCTCTTCCCGTTACATCCTTCGTGCGCGCGCGCTCGCTCGCTCGCTCGCGTGTGCAGCTGTCTTCACTTTGGTGGTTTTCGCGCCGCACTCCACCGCTTCGGCGATGCTTGCCGTCGAACGGAGCGCCGTCGACGCCACTGGCCATGCGGTCCACGACGCATCGCATCGCATCGCATCGCATCGCATCGCGCCGCACCGCTTAGGAACGCGACGCGGCGCGGCGCTATCTCCCGCCACACCCGACCTTCGAATTCAAATTGGCGCGCAAGCCGTGGAGCTTATAACCTAAATCCCGTTCGTCTCCCTCGTCTCCCCCGACGAGTTTCCCGCGAGACCGAACCTCCCCTATTCCTCCCTTCCTCCATCCCAGTCCCAGTTCACCGCGTTTTCGTAACTGTTCCTCTTCGTTGTTGTCGTCACGGGGATTCGACACCTCGCTGTCAGCGAGACTTGAGAATTTGTCCCGCGTAATTCGTCTCCCCCTTCCCGATTGGCGAGCAACATGCGTGACGTCAACGAGCGTCGCGCGATCGTATGTCTGATCCTGAACTTGTCATTTTCTACATTTGAAATAAGATGTACATATTCGATCTCGCGGGTTGGCGAGGAATTGAGTGTAGCAAATGCGACGAATATCTCGCTGTATCCTCTCAAATGCATTTGCGCGGCAATCGCCGATGTGTAACAGGGCCGTATGAAGATCGAGGGGATCCACAGTGGGAGTGGGGGAATCCACACGTGCAGTCTGAATATGATCCTAGATTCATATTCTATCTTAAATTTAAAGAGAAAATTCTGTTTATCTAATTCCTAGTATCGTATTCTAGTATCATAAATGCATTTGCAAACAAAGAATTATTTTGCAAAAGTATTTGATGAAAATGTACGTTTAACTTGTATTGATGTCTCTTTTAATTCTAAATGATAAAAATGTATTGAAAAATATTTGAAACTTATCCCCGACAACTTGTAAATGAGATAATTGTATGAATATCTTATTAATTTTAAAAAATAAATTCATTTTTTATTTTATATATTTGATATTATTGTTAATATTATTGTTTTTAAATGGATGATGAATTAAAATTGTTTTGATTCAAAAGATATATATAAAGATTATGTTATTGTTATTATAATATTGTATACAATGTATATTAATTTTCCAATGACATGTAAAGGTGTCAGTTCCTTCAAAGGACTTAAAAAAACCTGCAAACGCTAAAAAGGGACCAGTACAGTGTATTTTCTTCTTTGGGACAAACAATTAGTAAGTTCTATTTATGGATTGTTTATCTTACTCGTGAAAATGTACTATGATTTATAATTCTCAATACTCTTTTTCTTTTGTAGCGCATGGATAGAGGAATCTCACATTAAACCCTATCAGGAATATAAAGATACTTTAGTGAAATCTAGCAAATCTGGCGCTTTCAAGGATGCAGTGGAAGCTATAGAAGAATTTATCGCCAAAGGAGAGGTGAGCAAAACTTTGCTTAATGCTGCATAATTATTTATAGTTATCTTATAATTATTATGTAATTAAATTATTATGTAATTAAATCAAATGCTTTATAATTGCATTATTAATTTGGTTAAATATTATACGATATTTTATAAATCTAAATTAGTTTAAAATTGAAAGCTTAATATAAAATAAAGTCTATGTACATGTTTTTATTGAAATATCTATTGAAAATAATTAAATTTATTATATTTATATAACAAAATATTTAAGCTTATTCTATAA